CAGGAACTCAAAATAAAGACTTGGAGGTTCAAGGGTTTTTATTTTCCCCATCCAGCCTATTACCATCCCCAGGTATTCATTCGGAGAAGACATATTATCCTTAGCTGAGGCTATTTTTAAAATTATTATTATTATTATTACTATTAAAATATACATGCAACATATAACAGACAATATCACACAACATACAAAGCATTTATACACATAAATAGACGTTGAAACGAAAAACCTACATTATACAATAAGCTAACGAAAACTTCCTAGTCTTTGCGATCTGAGTATTGTTCCATAATGTTTCATTTATTCCCAACTTTTACTTCTAATTCCTATTCTACAGCACTCCTAATCTTATCTACGTGATAATTGTTTCTCACTTCGTTCCTAATTAATTCGATTATTTCTTCCCTCCACCAATTTTCTGTCTTATCCTGAGTCAATATTTTCTATCGATGCTAACTGTATACATTCTAAAAATAATTTGACCATTTATCTTTAATTTTTTGTGTTGCTTTATTTCTGATCAGACAGACAGAGGGATAGATGGATGACAGAGAAACGAACAGACCCTCAGAGATAGAGAGACACATCATAGAATCCTAGAGTCGGAAGAGACCACCAAGGGCCATCCAGTCCAACCCCATTCTGCCATGCAGGAACTCAAAATCAAACCATCCCCGACAGATAATAGATGAAAGATAGATGCATGACAGAGAGACCCTCAGAGAACCATTTAGAGTAGTTTTAGTATTTTAGCATTTTATAGGGTTGTGTTTTATTGTTCATTTTTGATTATATATAACTGATGTTTGGTTACAAATATAAATATATGATATAGTGTGTGGTCTGTCTTTCTCTCTTTCTGCTTCCCTCCACCTTTCCTGGCATGATTATCTTTTCTACTGAGTCATGCCTTCTTCACACCTGGGATCAAACATTGATAGAAATGGGGACTGCAGTCAGGAAATCAGAAGAAGATTAAGAATGGGGAGGGTGGCTATGAAAGAACTAGAAAAGTTTCTAAAATGCAAAGATATACAACTCAGCACAAAAGTTAGAACAATACAAGCCATTGTATTCCAAAGCATAGGAGGAGAGGCTTCCCCTTCCTATTTTCTGGGAAGCACAGATCCTCACTTGACTCTCGTCTCCTCAGTCCCTGCAGTGTTGGGTTTCTTCACAAAGATCTTGAACCCCAGTACTGCACAAGTCTTCTGGGAGTTGCCTGCCCGACCCGTCTGGACTGAAGGCTTCAAAAACTTTATCTCCAGAAGCTGCCCAGCGCCCACTAAGAGGGGCCTCAACTCTTGCCTGGCAAGGCCAACTCTTTCATCTACAGTGACTTGGGTAAGTCGCTTGGTCTTCCAAAAGGAAGATGTGCTCAGTGGAAATCATAATCTCATAGAGTTGGAAGAGACCCCTTCAACATCTCCTGCATGTGGCTTCTGCTGTAGCTATTTATTTATTCATTCATTGCACTTAAAATA